TGAGAGAGAGATATCTTCTATCTTCTGGTTCACTCCCCAAATGGCCACAACTGGGCTGGGTCAGGCAAAAGCGAAGAGCGAGGAACTCCCCCATTCAGGGACCCGTGCCCACTTGGGCTATCATCTGCTACCTTCCAAGGTGCATTAGTAGGAAGGTGGATTGGAAGTAGAGCAAACAGGACTTGAATGTTATCTCAAGTAGCAGTTTAACCCACTCCAGAACACCAGCCCAAAATCTGGTTTTAAATGGATAGATATTAATTGTGTGTCTTCATGGGACACAGTGTGTTGTTTTCTTTACATTTATTTATTTATTTGAAAGGCAGAGTTACAGGGTGTAGAGGCAGAGAGGAAGAGAGAGATCTTCTATCCACTAGCTCACTCCTCACTGGCTGTAAAGGGCAGAATCTGGCACCCCAACTGGGACTAGAACCGGGGTGCCAGTGCTGCAGGCAGAGGATTAGCCTAGTGAGCCTAGAGCTCTCTGGTGTCTCACATCAGTCCCATTGGATTAGGGGCCTACTGTTATTACTTGAATTGACTCCTCACCCCCAAATATAGTCATAACAGAATTTTAGGAGGATACAATTCAGTTCACAACAGAAGTCATAGGCAGAGAGAACAGCATATCACTCTAACATGGGGTTCCTTGAACTTGGCATTAGTGACATTTTGGGTCAGATATTTCTTTGCTATATCCGCTATCTTGTGAATTGTAGGATGTTTATCAGCCTCTCTGCCTTGTACCCACTAGATACCAGTAGCATCCCACAGTTAATGTCAACCAAAAATGTCTCCAGACATTGCCAGATATCCTCGGGATGGGGAGGGGTAGAATCATCCCCAGGCTGAGAACCAGCGCTGTAAAGTGGTAATAGATTTGGTGTGTTTTGGGAACAGGAAGGAAGCCATTGTGGTATGAAGTTGGTAGATATATCAAGCAGAATGCCAGATCATCTGGAGCCTGAATTGTGCGCTTGGATGAGGTGTTTAGATTTTATTCCAAGTGAAATGGACAGCTTTTGGGAAGATTTAAAGAAGGAAATGATAGCATCTATTTGTGATAATTTTTTAGAGATCACTTTGTGCCCTGTGGAAAGTAGAGTACAGAGTCACTAATGGTGAGAGCTCATTGCAGTAGTTCAGTTAAGCACTGATAGTTGACTTGGACCAGGATGCTTGCAATAAAATATAGAGAGCATTTAGTATTGAATTAGCAGCATTTGCTGTTAGATTCGATGTGGTAGTTGAAGGCAAGTGGTTTTTAAAGCCTCACTACTTGAGTCTATCACTTAGAAACGAAATAAAAGGGGTAAAAGGCGGCAAGGTGGAGAAGTCAGCTTCTAGAAGCAGGGCTAAGTAGAAGATCAAACCAGTAAGGCTTGAGAAGCAGTATCCTCTACTGAATGAAAAAGAAAGCGGAAAGGCAGGCGAGAATGGCCAAGAAAATGAAGTGAGAGGAATCAGGAGTGGTCGGCTGTGTGAAATGCTGCTGAAAGGCCTGGGAAGTGGTGGGTGGCTTAGCACAAGCAGCAGTCAGTAGTGACCTTTTCCAGTGCATTTCCAGTGAGTTGCAGAGATAGAAGCTGGATTGAAGGCAGTTGAGGATGCAGAGAGGGGTGAGATGTAGTGATAGTGACCTGAGAGAAGTTCTGAGTTTTGCTATGAAGGGGAGCGGAGAAATGGGACAGTAGGGGTGAGCGGAGGGAGACAGCATCACATATTGTAACTTTATGACTTTGCTCCCTATTCTTCTTCGTTTGCCATTATTCCTACCTCTGAATTGTTTTTCCTTTAAAAACTTTTTTTTGGTACTATTTTCATTTTATTTGAAAAGCAGACAGAGACAGACAGCAGAGATCTTGTCTGCTAGTTCCTTCCCTAAATGCCTGCAACAGCTAGGATTGGGCTAGGCCAAAGCCAGAATCCAGGAACTCAGTCTGGGACTCTCACATAGGTGGCAGGGACCCAAGTACTTAAGCCATTATCTTCTGCCTCCCAGAGTGTGCATTAGCAAGAAACTAGAACTGAATCTGTATCTGGGTCTCAAACCCAGGACTCAAAAGCAGGCACTCCCAAACAGGATGCAAGTGTCACAAAGAAAGTCTTAACTGATGCCCCAAATGCCCATTCCTGTTTTCATTTTTATTTCCTTTTTCTTCACATGAATCTGGCTACTTTTCCTCCTGTGCTGTCATGATATTCTTTGATTCTCTCTACCTTAATTGGTCTGGACTTTCTAATATGAAAGGTGGGTAAGAGTGAATTACAGAGTACTTGAAAAGAACTTAAATGTTAATATTTAGAAATATATGCAAAAGAATTCTGTCAAAGGAAGGGGAGCTGAGTTTTATATGTTGGATGGTGTAACCATTTAAAAAATAATTTAAAAGATAAAAACACAAAAAAAGTAATTAAAAACTGGAATGGGCATTTATCTTAGTAGTTAAGACACCCACATCCTACATTAGAATACTTGGGTTAAATCCCTGGCTCAGGCTTCTAGCTCTAGCTTCTTTATTAATGTTGACTCTGGAAGACAGCAGTGATGGCTTAAGTATTTGGGTTCTTGCCACCAAATGAGAGACAAGGATTGAGTGGCTCCCAACTTCTGCTTGGCCTAGTCCCAGTTGTTAAAGGTATTTGAGGAGTCAACAAGTAAATGGGAGTGCACTGTTTTTCTCTCTCTCTATCTGCCTCTCAAAAAACTGTTAAAAATCAAACCAATTATTTTTATTATAGTATTTAAAGATTTATTTATTTATTTGAAAGGTAGAGTCACAGAGAGGGAGATAGAGGTCCTCCATCTGCTGGTTCACACCAAAAATGATACAGTGGGTTTTGCATGCAATATGAGCGCCATTTTGAGTCCTGGGTGCTTCACTTCCGATCCAGCTCCCCACTGATGCTCCTGGGAAAGCAGCAGCAGATGGCCTAAATGCTTAGTCCCCTGCCACCCATGTGAGAGACCTGGATGGAGTTCCATGCTGCTGGTTTCATCCCGGCCCAGCCCTAGCCATTGTGACCATTGGGGGAATAAGCCAATGGATGGAAGATCTCTGTTTCTCTCTCTCTCTCTCTTTCTGTAACTCTGCTTTTCAAGTAAATAAGTCTTATAAAAGATGATTATGTTAAATAGATGCTTTCTCTGGAGAGTAAGCATTACAAATCAAGTCTATTTCAAAAACTAATAGAATAGAAAAGTGGTTATCATGTTTACCAAAGAAATGTAAATCAAATTTGGTACCATTCTTAGTAGGGAAAAACACACACGTGGGTGTGTGTGGGTGTGTACATTAAAAAAAGTGATAAGAGCAGTATAGTGAAATTTCTATCTTTATGTATTGCTAAAAATAATAGCAGATGTAAATTGTTATATTGTATGATCAAGTTAATGAGAAATAGATATTTAAAATTTTGTTTATAATGCACAAAATATTAATTACTCTTGGTAACTGAAAAAAGATTAGAAATCAAAGAAGTTACACTTTATAAATATAGTGGCATACTACTCCACTTTGAAAAGAAAATGATCCATTTGTACTGATATGGAAGACTCTTTAACAGTCAGACTGTTATATGCTTCCATTTGTGTTTTTATATGTGCATATTTTAAATTTGAATGTTATATCTCTAGATTCTATTCTAGGGTAAAATTTCCTCTACAACAGTGCTTGCAAATATTTTCTAATATTTGTCTTTCTAGGCCACGTAGTTTATAGAAAACACTCAGTTCTGCCACTGTAGCTATGAAATCTCTCATAGACATTATGTAAACAAAGGGGCATGGCTGTGTACCAGGACAGTTTTCTTCATAAATACATGGGCCAGATTTGGCCCTGGCAATAACAAGCCAGCCTCTTTTCTTGAGTTTTAAAAAACAGAAATAACTGATAATGGCAGTAAGGAGAATTTAGGGGATTTGGGAGGGTTCTCTTAGGTGAAAGATGAGAGGGAGATTTGCTTTTAATACTGATTTACTCCATGGTACAAAATCAATTTTTACCTGTTTTTTTAAAAATACTTTAAACATAAATTCATAATTATGAGAATTTTATTTTTTGTGTTTTTTTTTCTATGAGAATTTTCTTGAGGGAAATAAAATAGATCATTTGCTTTGGCATCCAGTAGAGGAGAATGCTGTAGTTGAGCTATGGACTTTGTTCCAAGTTATTTAACCTTCCATTTCCATTCTCTTCATCATTCAAATTTATAAGAAAATTCCAGAGACAAAAAGATGTGAGAAATGGGGCAAGATTTTTGGGCAAATAAGAGATTTTCCCCCTTGAATTCAAAGCTCTATTTAGCATTGTTACAGGAAGTACATTACTATTTTACTTCCATGTTTTATAAACTAGTCACACATTTCCCCCATTTCATGAACGCCATCCCTCATGTATCCCTTCTCATTATTTATGTAGTTCGCCCCATCTAGCTGCTGGAAATACACTAGTTTTTCCTTTCTCTATATCACAGCACTATTGAGAATTGACTGCTCTTGTTCTAAGCTTACAGATTTTAGAGACTAAAAGAAGTCTTTAAAAAGTTTACAAAAAGTGCACATTATGAAAACACTATATGAATGAATTTCAAACTTTTTGTACCAAAATAAGAATATTTCATTGCATTTTCCTCACAGACTTACTAAAGTACCCTCATACAGCAGACTATTTCAGAGGAACAATGTTTTATTTTTCTGTATTGTCAGATGTACTTTTTTAAAAATTAAGCTGTTTGTTTGATCTCCTTTTTTCTGTAGGTGCTGCTACATCCTCATCTTCTTCTTCACCTTCATCCAGTTCTATAACAGCTGCTGTTATGCTAACTTTAGCTGAACCATCAATGTCCAGCGCATCACAAAATGGAATGTCAGTTGAGTGCAGGTGACAGCAGGACTTGCTAAAGCACTTTGCACTTAATGGCTGTTGAGGGCCACGTCTTTTTTTATACTGCACAGTGGCACAAAAAAAAAATCAGACAAGCACTATTTTATATTTAAAAATTGTTTCTTGACAAGCTGACTTGGCACTTAAGTGCACTTTTTTATGAAGAAAAAAGTACAATGAACTGCTTTTCCTCAAGCAATAATTGTTTCCAACTTGTCTGGGAATTGTGTGTCTGGTAACTTGAAGGCCTTCCACTGTGGCAAATGGAGGCTTTTCACTGCCTGTAGAGACAATACAGTAAGCATAGTTACGGGGTGGGCCAGAACATGTTAAGATAACTTACTGTATATGTATTCCCTTGTATTTTGTTAAAGCTGGAACATTTGATATTTTTCCATTTATTTATGAAAAAATATGAACCTATTTTCATTTGTACAAGCTAATTGTTTTTTAATGCAAGTCACCATAGGGTGGCTTTAATTGTATAAGTCAAGCACATGTAATAAATTCAAAACCTGCAGTTAACAGGATATTAGACATCAATCCTGGTAACCAAATACTATTAAAGATTCTCTTTAAAAAAGACTGAACATGTTTACAGGTTTGAATTAGGCTAAAAGGTCTTGCAGTGGCTTTTCATGCCCCTTCAAATTGGAATGGAACTACTGTACTTTGCCATTTTTCTATAAATCAGTATTTTTTTTTAATTTTGATATAATACATTGTGTGAAAAAAGAAAATGGCTAATAAACTGTATTAAATCTTAAACAATGTATAAAGATTGTACTTAGCCAGTTCAAAGTGTATATTTATTCATAATGAATTATAACAGTTATATTTTTGTGTTTTCTTGTAAATGTTTCTTTTCCCTTAAATACAGATAATTCATTTGTATTGCTTATTTTATTATGAGCTACAACAAAAGGACTTCAGGAACAAGTAACTGTACTGGTATGGTTCAAGGTGTTGATCTGAACTGTCTCAAAAGGATGGTTGTTATTTTAAGTATAAATAGCTAATTGGGGTGGTAGGCCTATAAAATTAAATGCCTTGTATAAATTCCAAAATGAACGTAAAATTGTTTTCACTTGTATTGACTTTATGTTGTATGATTCCAATCTCTGTTCTGTTTGGCACTTGTATTTAATTCTTCACCTTTGTAAGACATTTGTATATTGCGGATGTGTTCATTCAAGCTATTTAATACCTGGCACTGTTAATACACAGTACTTTACTGTACAGACTGTTTTACTGTTTTAATTGTAGTTCTGTGTACTTTTTTTGGATGGGGCTGGCATGTTTTGTTTGTTTCCTGGCAATACGACATGTGAGAATTTCAAAGCGTTTTGTTGTAGATGCTAACGTGTCAGAATCCTTTACATTCAACTTTTCTAAGAAAAGCATTTTCAGTCTTGTATTGTGTGCTTACTTACAGTAACTAATTTTGTTGAAAATGGTTTCAAGTTATTCAAATTTGTACAGGACTGTAAAGATTTGTTGACAGCAAACTGTTGAAGAAAAAGCTTATAGAGTAAAAGCTATAAATATATATTAGGATCTGCAACAATGAAGACTTATGTAATATATTGTACAAATGTAAGCAAAGGCTCTGAAATAAAATGCCATAGTTTGTGAATCCTTGATTTTGTTTCTAAAAGATTAAGTAATTTTAATTCATTTCTGTATGTGATAATTGACTCACATATACATATCCAGCATGTATTATTGCAAAGGGGTTAATTAACATACAAAAAAGGGAATCTTCTATTTGTAAAAATTAAAAGTCCATTAATCAGAGGAGAGGTTTATTAGGCATTCTTATATCTTTGCATACACTATGAGTATTTTTGCTTGAATCTGAATGTAAATAGTTTTCTTGTGACTTGGAGGTTTATGCAAGAAGAAAATCAAATAAAATGTAAAAATGTTTTCCTTAACACTTGAAACCATTACCAGCAGCTTCTTAACTTTGTGGGTTTCATATTTACTTCAGAAAGTTCATGGGAAATGGAAATAAATGGTAAATTTATTTTGGTGCAAAAAAATCTTGAAATCATCCATTGTTTTTTCCTGATATACATTTTCCAGGAACTCTTTGAAGATCCCTATAATTAAATGTGTACTGTTGATGCACACTGGAATCAGCTGGGCATTGTTTGCCATGCTGAAACTCCACCCCCAGAGTTTTATTTAGATTTATTTATTTATCTGAGAGGCAGAGTGGCAGACAGAGAGAGAGGAGGGAGGGATAATATTCCATCTGCTGGCTCACTCCCCAAATGACTGCAATAGCCTGGGCTAAGCCAGGCTGAAGCCAGAAGCCCAGAACTTGAATCTGGGTCTCACATGTGGTGACAGGAAGTGCTCCCTCCTAGGTTCATTTATTTTATATATAAATATTTTTAAGATTTATTTTATTTATTTAAAGGGTAGAGTTAGAGAGAGAGACAGATCTGTCTGCTGGTTCACTCCTCAAATAGCCATAATGGCCAGGAATGGGACAGGCCAAAGCTAGGTACCTGGAGGTCTCCCATATGGGTGGCAAGAGAGCAGCAAGAGACCATCTTTCAGTGTTTTCCCAGGTACACTAGTAGGAAACTGGACTGGAAGTGCAGCAGTTGAAGTCAAACTGGCACTCCTATATTGGAAGCACATGTTTCAGGTAGATCTTGAACCAGGCACTCTGATGAGTGTCCTAAGCCACAGCTTAACCTGCTGTATCAGAATGTCTGCCCCACACACAGACATAGTTAAATGGTTTGGGCTGCTACCTGGATATTTGTCATTTTTATTTGTTTGTTTAAGGTCTCAGTGATTTCTTTTTTAATTTTTTTAAGGTTTACTTTATTGTATTTGAAAGGCAGAGAGACAAAGAGAGAGGTCCTCCATCCGCTGGCTCACTCCCCAGAAGGCTGCAACGGCTGAGCTGAGCCCAGGAGCCAAGAGCCTCCTCTGGTTCTCTCTCCCACGTGGGTGCAGGGGCGCAAAGAATTGGGTCATCTTTCACTGCTTTCCCAGGCCACAGCAGAGAGCTGGATTGGAAGTGGAGCAGCCAGGATTTGAACCAGCACCCATATGGGAAGCCAGGGCTTCAGGCCAGGGCATTAACCCGCTAATCCAAAGCACCAGCAGCCCCTCTGGTGATTTCAATATGCATCTGGGTTGAGAACCACTGCTTTGCCTCAAACTTTAAAAAAAAAAGTTAATTTTTGGGCTCGTTGTTGTGGCCTAGCAGATTAGGCTGCCATCTGCAGTGCCAGCATCCCAAATGGGCACCGGTTTGAGTTCTGGCTGCTCCATTTCTGATCCAGCTCCCTGCTAATGTGCCTGGGAGGGCAGCAGAGGATGGCCCAAGTGCTTGGGCCCCTGCACCCATGTGGGAGACACGGAGGAAGCTCCTGGCTCCTGGAGTTGTGGCCATTTGGAGAGTGAACCGGCAGATGGAAGATCTCTTCCAAATAAATAAGTCAAACTCAAAAATCCCCTTGAATGGATCTTCAATTTTTAAAAATATTTTATTTATATATTTGAGAGGTAGAGTTCCAGATAGAGGGAGAGACAGAACCATCTGCTGGTTCACTCCCCAAATAGCCACAATTGCTGGAGCTGGGCCAATCCAAATCCAGGAGCAAGGAGTTTCTTCCAGGTCTCCCACCTGGGGTACAGGGGCCTAAGTACTTGGTACATCCTCCACTGCTTTCCCAGGCCATTAGGAGGGAGATGGATTGGAAGAGGAGCAGCCAGGACATATGGAATGCTGGCACTACAGGCAGAGGCTTAACTACTACACTACAATGCCAGTCCCTGGCTCTAACATTTTTACAGAAAGGTTAACTCTCCTTTTTTTTCCTCTCTGTCTTTACTCTCATTTTATTTAAAAAGGAGAGAAAGAGAGAGAGAGAGAGATCAATCTTCCATGCACTGGTCCCCTCCCCAAATGCCCACAACAGCTGGTGCTGAGCCAGGCTGATAGCAGTCCCACTCAGTCCAGGTCTCTCTCATGGGTAGCAGGCTCCTACGTTCCTAAGCCATCACCTCCTGCCTCCTAGTGTTTGCATTACCTGAAAGTTGGAATCCAGAGCTGAGTCAAACTTGAACCCAGGTATTCCCTCTGTCCTTTCTACCTTTTTGCCCTTCTTCCTAGCCTCTCCAGAATACCTGAAAATTTCATTGTTGTACTAGAATTTAACCTTGGTCACCCAAATTTCATGCTAGTGTTAACAATATATGATGAAATTAATATAAGACTTACTGAACCAGGATGAGCCCCTTGCTGTGTGCTTCAGGCCAAAATATGGAGGCTATAGTCTTTTGTGAAGAAAGTTTCTCATAAGGTAGCCAAGTAAGGAATTAGGAGTAATTCTCAAATCTGATTCCCTGATCTGGACAATCTGGGTAGTTTGTTGCAGCTTGTATGCAGAACACCAGTGAGCAGTTCTGATTTGGATAGAAATCAGGTCATCTTAGTGTTTTAATTAGCTCTCCTATGAAAGCAGGAATATATAAAAAGAAAAAAATGAGTGTCATTGTTAAAGCATAAAACAGGGGAGCGTAACCAAGAAGCTTTTCAGTTTGGGTTCTTGCGGAAAATGAGTAAAGAGGCAGTCTGATGTCTTTATGTTTCTTCCAGTGTTCTCTCAATTTATTTTCCCCATTTAAGAGGACCTTATGGTCGGACCTTGTTGATTTTAACCTGAGGGAGGTATGTGAAGGTGGAAAGAATGCATGGAATCCTTAATATTTTCTCCAAACTTTTGTAAACAAAATGTTTTTAATCTCTAGTTTTTCCATTAAAAAAGTCCTTATATCTTAAACTTTCAAAGGGCTAGTAATCGGTAAACGGCTAAAACACAGTTCTAATGGCAATGAAGATCTTTTTTACTCTATCTCCAACTATTTTCCTTGGTAGGTATGTGCTGCCAGTCTTTATCTACAAGGCCATTTTCTCACCTTCTAACTTTAAGCCACGACGTAGGAAGTTTTGGGACTGATGTTATAGGAGGGCTTATGAATGTATATGATCTAATCCTCCAGGGGGATAGTTTCATGGCTTGGTTGTGAAAGTAATATAAGGGCCAGCACTGCGGCTCACTAGGCTAATCCTCTACCTGCGGCGCCAGCACACCCGGTTCTAGTCCCGTTGGGGCGCCGGATTCTGTCCAGCTCTCTGCTATGGCCCGGGAGTGCAGTGGAGGATGGCCCAAGTGCTTGGGCCCTGCACCCGCATGGGAGACCAGGAGAAGCTCCTGGCTTGGGATCAGCGCAGTGCACCGGCCGCAGTGGCCATGGGGGAGGGGTGTGAACCAATGGTAAAGGAAGACCTTTCTCTCTGTCTCTCTCACTGTCCACTCTGCCTGTCAAAAAAAAAAAAAAAAAAAGAAAGAAAGTAATATGAGACATAATCAAATCAAGTGTTAAACTGTATGGTCGGGAAGGGGGGTGGAGGCTGGCGCTGTGGTGTAGTGGGTAAAGCCACTGCCTGCAGTGCTGGTTTGCATCCCAGGTGCTCTACTTCCAACCCAGCTCTCTGCTATGGCCTGGGAAAGCAGTTGAAGATGGCTCAAGTCCTTGGGCTCCTGTACCCGCATGGGAGACCCGGAAGAAGCTCCTGGCTCCTGGCTCCTGGCTCCTGGCTTCAGATCGGCCCAGCTCCAGCTGTTGCAGCCAGCTGGGGAGTGAACCAGCAGATGGAAGATCTCTATTTCTCTCTCTGCCTCTGACTCTCTGTCACTCTTTCAAATAAATAATAAATATTTTTTAAAAAATAAACTGTATGGTCAGGGAGAACAATACATAAGAGTTTATGCAGGGTTAGTAACAGACATTCCACTCTTTAATTACCATAGTTCTCCTTGTTACTCATGTTTCTTAAGTCACCTGAAGTGTTTGTATTAGAACAAGGGCAAGAAAATATCATTTATATTTGTATACCCTTTGCAGTTCCATTTTTATAGTTGAGATGAAATATTTGAGGAGAGAGCTGTATCTTGGGGTACCCATAGACATGGTTACATGAAGGAAGACTGCCTGCTAGTGGTTGGGGGGTGGTGGATTCGTTTTGGGACTTTTGTCTTCAATAAATGAACAAGAAAAAAAAAGTTTATGAAGGGGGTGGTGCATGATTATACATGGATCAAGATGACTGATGTCTCCAAACAGGCAGACCTTAAACTGACATCTAGGGATGATTCATTGGGAAATGGGACATGTAGGCTAGAGTACAGGGATGTTTCAAAGAATGGGTAGGATGGGATTACCTGTGCTCCAATGAGGTGGTGATTTTTGGAACAATGTTAGAACGGATAGTGGAGAAGGAATCGGACTGGACTACATAGGAACAAATGCTTCAATAGCAGTTCATGCATCCATGGATAGACTTTTCTCAATTGCGTGAATTATCAGAAGATCACAATTATATTTTAAAAAGATTTTTTTATTTTATTTTTTTTTTTTGACAGGCAGAGTGGACAGTGAGAGACAGAGACAGAGAGAAAGGTCTTCCTTTGCCGTTGGTTCACCCTCCAATGGCCGCCGCGGCCGGCGCACCACACTGATCCGATGGCAGGAGCCAGGTACTTATCCTGGTCTCCCATGGGGTGCAGGGCCCAAGGACTTGGGCCATCCTCCACTGCAGTCCCTGGCCACAGCAGAGAGCTGGCCTGGAAGAGGGGCAACCGGGACAGAATCTGGTGCCCCGATCAGGACTAGAACCCGGTGTGCCGGCACCACAAGGCAGAGGATTAGCCTAGTGAGCCGCGGCGCCGGCCAAAAAAGATTTGAAAGGCAAAATTAACAGAGGGAGAGGGAGAGAAGGAGATCTTTCATCTACTGGTTTACTCCCCAGATGGCCACAACAGCTGTGTCTGGGCCAGACTGGAGCCAAGAACCTGGAATTCCATCCAGGTCTCCCATGTCGTTGCAGGGGCCTAAGCACTTGGGACACCCTCTACTTCTTCTTCTTCTTTTTTTTTTTTTTTTTTTTTTTTAAGATTTATTTACTTGAAAGTCAGAGCTACACACAGAGAGGAGGAGAGGCAGGGAGGGGTCTTCCATCCACTGGTTCACTCCCCAGTGAGCCACAACGGCCAGAGCTGTGCCAATCTGAGGCCAGAAGCCAGGAGCTTGTTCTGGGTCTCCCACATGGGTGAAGGGTCCCAAGGACATGGCCATCTTCTACTGCTTTCCCAGGCCACAGCAGAGCAGGAAGTGGAGCAGCCGGGACTCGAACTGGCAGCCATATGGGATGCTGGCACTGCAGGTGGTGGGCTTTACCAATTATGCCACAGTACCAGTCCCCTCTGCTGCTTTCTCAGGTGCATTAGCAGGGAGCTGGATTGGAAGTGGAGCAGCTGGGGCATAAATAGGCTTATATGGGACACTGATGTCTCAGGAGGGGTCTTAACCTGCTGTGCCGCAACACTGGCCCGAGCACATCATAATTGTGAGAAACACAAAATTAGTGCTCAGCAATCAAAACTAGGGCCAATGGGGGCCGGCGCCACGGCTCACTTGGTTAATCCTCCACTTGTGGTGCCAGCACCCCATAAGGGTGCTGGGTTCTAATCCCGGTTGCTCCCCTTCCAGTCTAACTCTGCTGTGGCCTGGGATAGCAGTGGAGGATGGCCCAAGTCCTTGGGCCCCTGCACCTGTGTGGAAGACCAGGAAGAAGCACCTGGCTCCTGGCTTCAGATTGGTGCAGCTCTGGCCGTTGCGGCCATTTGGACAGTGAACCAACGGAGGGAAGACATTTCTGTCTCTCTCTGTCTATAATTCTACCTGTCAAAAAAACAAAAAAACAAAAACAAAAACACCACTAGGGTCAAGAAGCTGAATAAACTTATTTGACGGGGGACACAAAAGGTCATATTTGTGTATATTCCCAGTAAACTTGTGTTGAGTTGCTTTCAAAAAATATGGCTATTCTTACAAAATGAATGGTCAAATCCTATTTCACCATATAAACTATCAAAGTCAATGCAACATATATTCACAGGTACTGTTACAGCATAGAGAATGAACAAAGTATATATAGCCTTATCCTTATGCTGTTAGGTCTATAAGGGATGTGTAAATTACACAAATGCAAAAAACAGTTCTAGGAAGTACAAGACAGCGAGGTAAGTTTGAGAAGCCAGGCTTAGAAAACAGCATAGAGTTTCGAGTGCCAAGTGTCTATGTTTCCTGGCAAAAACGCAGAGCGGCATTAAAAGCATTTGAACAGGGCCTGGGATAATGGTACAATGGATAAAGCCACTGTGACCCTGGGGCACCCGTTCCTATCCTGGCTGCTCCTCTTCAGATCCAGCTCCCTGCTAATGTGCCTGGGAAAGCAGTGGATGATGGCCCAAGTGTTTGGGACTCTGCACTCATGTGGGAGACCCGGAAGAAGCTCTGGGCTCCTGGTTTTGGCCTGGCCCAGCTCTGGCCATTGCGGCCATTTGGGGAGTGAACCAGCAGATGGAATCTCTTTCTCTCTCTCTCTAAACTCTGCCTTTTACATAATAATAGTAACAATAACAATAACAATAATAGAGTTTGACGGTCTATAGAGGTGTTCTGTTAAAGCTGGGCTCTCCAAGTATTTGTTTCTAACTTTATTTTGAAATAATGTCAAAAATTTCAACAACGTGGCAAGAAGAGTTTAAGAATTCCTGTGTACCCTTCACACGAATTCAAAAATTGGTACTTCGTTAAATATACCCCTGTAACCTCATTTCTTGTCAAACCTACATACCTACCTCTTCAACAATTCGGGTTTCGCGGGTGTTTTCCTCTCCGCTTTGACTGACACCTCACTCTCAGATCTGCTGTTATTCATACTTCAGGCCTCAACTGCTATCGGAAGAATTTTTTCACTCCCAAGATTACGCGTCTTAGACAGTGCGCGGAAGTCATCCAGTAGGGACCCATACTCGCTCCCACGTATCCCCGCCCCAAAGCACGAGCGGAAGGGGCGTGGCCCGGGCAGGAAGTGGCCACAACCCGGAAGTAATGTCTCACGTGTTGTTGGCTTGGAGGGCTTGGATTAAGTATGGCTTTGGAAGGGAAGAACAAAAAGAAGAGAAGTGCCGAGCCTGGGTGAGTGGCGCGCGGCCGCTGTAGCTGGGGAAGGACGTGTGTTCGCTCGGGCGGAGAAGCGGTCGGGCGCGGCATAACTGAGTTTGTGGCGTCCGTTTCTAGAGAGAAGCTGGACGGCGGCGTCGGCGGGCATCTGACCGGAGACTACCTGGTTGGACAAGTGGCCGGTAGCTTAGCCCACGGCAAGCGCCCCTCCAGAGGCGGTACAGGTCGCCTGGCGTCTCTTTTTAGCTCTTTGGAGCCGCAAGTTCAACCCGTGTACGTGCCGGTGCCCAAAGTAAGTCCCTGGGTTTGTTCCGAATGGCCGGTTGGAACGACTTTCAGACAAGCGGCTTGACATGCTGAGCAAGAGTTTTAACGTGGGTTAAGTGGGATTGATTGTAAGTAAACTTTTCTTACTAGACGTACCATTGAGAGGGAAGAGATGCCAATTTGGAAAGATCGGTAAATTTTTCCTGTAGGGTCAGAATTTAAGAATGAGGTCTCAAAAATAACTTTACACTTTTATAAGGAAACCACCAAAAAAAGGAAACGGGATGAGGAGGAAGAAAGTACACTCCAGACTCAAAAACCATTTTTGCAAGAAGGTGCAAAAAAAGTAAAAACGAAGAAGAAACTCTCCGAGGCAGACAAAAATTTAGCAAACAGGTTGGTAAAATTCTCTTAGTTGATGTTAAAGAAATTGGTTAGTAAGAACAGAAAATTCCTGTACCTGCAGTCTTCATCTTAAATTTTTTTTCTTATTTCATGTTTCTAATTGTTTTCTTCAAAGGGCAAATTCTATTTATGGAAAATCTCTTAACAGACAAAAGTATCTGTGATCAGCAGTTGCTAATACTTGAGCAGTTTTTCATTTTTAAAACACTCACTCCCCCTTATTATTTGGAATCAATACTATGAAATGTTTCATGTTTAAATTGTTCGACATGTATGTAAAAGATGAACTTGGTTTTCTTCAACCTAGAGACCCGGTTGCTCCCATTAAATGTGTTTCTTGTTAACTCTCCTTACTCTTTTTTGCCATTCTTAAAGTCCCATGTATTCTTTCCCACTTTTTGTCTTTTCTGTCAGTAGGGGGCCTTTTTACCTTTTCTGGAAGCTGTTAATTGCTAACAGTTGTGAACTACTCCTCCTTTGTGTCTGCCTCCTTACACTCCATGCATCTGTCTGTGCACAACCTCTGTTCCTCTTTCGGAGAAGGCTGTCTTCCCTCTCACTTGGATGAACTATGTACACTGCCTACCTGCTCGGCCTCCTTAGGGATTGTGCCATCAGATCCATCCATTTTCTCTTTCCTATAATAGTGTTGTTTTCACCATGTAAATCTGCTTGGGATCTCCTTTTAAAGAAGAAACTGAACAATATATCCCCTGTTGGTAGACTTGTGTCTGTTTGCTACCACTCCCTCAAGCCTTCCCTTCAACATAGGCAAGCTTTAGTAAACAGTCGTGTATTCTTTTGCTCTCTCTTTTATTCACTCTTCTACACATTTGCAGCCTGGTGGTGTTTTTTGTGTCTGTGCCATGACCATACCTCTGAAATGGGTGTTCTGATCTAATTGCCTTATTTAAAGACAGTGCATACAGCCCTTGTCTTGGGAGTCCTCTCTTGTATGTCACTCGGCTGGTTTTCTAGTTGAAGCGTTTGGCTTTTCTGGAAGCAGTCTCTTGTGATTCTCCATTTGTCTGTCACTTCTCAGTGTTAAGTGGGTATCTTATCTTCTGACCTTAAATGTTGATTTTCCCTGAGGTTTCTTGTTTCTCTTAACATTTTTGTCACCCTTTATTGGGGCCTCCTCTCATCTTCCCCCTGATTTCTAGACCTGTGTGTAAATGTATTCCCTTACGCCAGTATGTTTCACAGGCACCTCAAGTTAATGCTTCAGACTGAGCTCATCATCCTTAGCAGCCCATTCCTCTGTGCGAATGGTGCCCCTAGTCCGGTTGCCTAATCCAGTGGTTCTAGAGTTATCCTGTATTCTTTCCTCTCTCTGCCTGACTGATCAGCTGCTAAGTTCTGATGATGCTGTTCTTAATTCATTCTTTCTCTCAAATAAATTATCTGTCTTTTCTTTATACCTCCTTCCCTGCTCTCTTTGGTCTGTTTTCTCAGATATGCACTGTTGTGTCCATCTCTAATTCCTAAGTATCTTCTGCTGTGCTAAAAATGATCTTTTTTAGGTACTCTTGAACTTTTCAGTGACTCCCTTCTTTGGATAAAATCTAGGAATTTTGCATAGCATAGAATGTCGTTGTTGACCCGTTTCTCACCTTAGCATACAGTTTCATTTCCTTTCTCTCCTGCTTGGTCCATTATGCACGTTGTACACTGTTGTGAACGAAACAGTAGACGTGCATCGTCTTTTAGTGGAGTGTGTAGTGGGAGACTATTAATAGTCAATATTTATTGCAGACTGACTGTGCACCAGACACTGCTCTCCTCTTCTGAGAAACCTGTCTTGTTTATTCTGTGTTCCCATGTCCTGTACTGCAGCCATTACAGTTTTACTGTGGACTTTACCTGTTTCATAACAACTTTTGAAAACCTTTTAAAACGGATTGAGCCAGTCTCATGTGAAAATCCAAAATGTGATGCACATGCCTGCACTTAGAGAGTTTAGATTTTGGAACATTAGAGATTAACGATGTTCAACCAGGAAAGTCTATGCAGCTATTCCAAAATTCTAAAAATTGAAACATGTAACTTCTGGTCCCAAGCATTTTATACTTCACCTGTAGTCTCTTGCTGTTTGTATTCCCAGATCCTAGAACTGAGCAGGACCCAGTCTTTGCTGATGAGTCAGTCATTTTCATAATTCTTTGTACTCATCACTCTCCCTCACTCTTGAGGAATCCCATTTAGTTCTCTTTTTGAATTTATGCTCAGATCTTACTTATCCATGTGTACCAATACTTTGTATTGTATTTTCCACTTCAGATTTTTAGAAAAGAGGGTGGACTGGAGAGGGGATTATTAATGGATAAAGGGGTGCAGTTGGATAGGAGGAATAACTTTTAATGTAGGTTTTTTTTTTTTTTTTTTTTTTTTTTTTTTTTTTGACAGGCAGAGTGGACAGTGAGAGAGAGAGACAGAGAGAGAAAGGTCTTCCTTTGCCGCTGGTTCACCCTCCAATGGCCGCCGCTGCAGCCGGCGCACCGCGCTGATCCTGGCAGGAGCCAGGAGCCAGGTGCTTTTCCTGGTCTCCCATGGGGTGCAGGGCCCAAGCACCTGGGCCATCCTCCACTGCACTCCCTGGCCATAGCAGAGAGCTGGCCTGGAAGAGGGGCAACCGGGACAGAATCCGGCGCCCCAACCGGGACTAGAACCCGGTGTGCCGGCGCCGCAAGGTGGAGGATTAGCCTATTGAGCCACGGCGCCGGCTTTTAATGTTCTAAGGCACAGTAAGGATAACTTTGGTTGATTCAGCAATTAATTGAATATTTCAAAATAGCCAAGAGAAAGATTTTGAATGTTCCCAGCACAACGAAATGATAAATGTCTGAAAGAAATGCCAGATACCTGGGGCCAGTGCTGTGGCGTAGTGGGTAAAGCCTCTGCCTGCATCCCATATGGACGCTGGTTCAAGTCCTGGTGGCTCCACTTCTAATCCAGCTCTCTGCTATGGCCTGGGAAAGCAGTGAAAGATGGCCCAAGTCCTTGGGCCCCTGTACCCACATGGGAGACCCAGAGGAAACTCCTGGCTCCTAGCTCCTGGCTTCAGATCAGTGCAGCTCTGGCCATTGAGGCCAACTGGGGAGTGAATCAGCAGATGGAAGACCTATCTCTCCCTCCCTCCCTCCCTCCCTCTCTCCCTCTCTCTCTCTCTCCCTCTCTCCCTCTCTCCCTCTCTCTCTCTCTCTCTCTCTCCCCGTAACTCTTTCAAATAAATAAATAAATCTTTAAAAAAAAAAAATGCCAGATATCTGATTTCATCATAATGCATTGTATACATGCATAGAAATGTCACACTATATCCCATAAATACATATAATCATGAATATTATGTCAGTTAAACATTTTTGAGAAAATTTACTGGGGCCGGCGCTGTAGCATAGCAAGTTAAGCTGCTATCTATAGTGCCAGCATCCTGTATAGGGGCCAGTTTAAGTCCTGGCTGCTCCACTTCCAATCTAGCTCTCTGCTAATGTGCCTGGGAAAGCAGCAATAAAATGGCTCAAGTTCTTGGGCCCCTGTACCCACGTGGGGGACCTCCTGGCTTCTAACTGACCCAGTCCCAGCCATTGCAGCCATTTGGAGAGCGAACCAGCAGATGGAAGACCCTTACTTTCTGCCTTTCCTTTTCTTTCTGTAACTGCCTTTCAAATAAACAAATCTTTTAAAAAAGAAAAAAAACTTAATTTTCATAAACATTCCTTTAATTATTACAGAATTGTTATAAGTAAGGAATCTTCTTTTGCCCAGATTCATTTCTCAGAGTATTTTGTAGGCATAGAAACTTTTTTTTTTTTTTGGACAGGCAGAGTGGATAGTGTGAGTGAGAGAGAGAGTCAGAGAGAAAGGTCTTCCTTTTGCCGTTGGTTCACCCTCCAACGGCCGGCGTGCTGCGGCCGGCACATCGCGCTGATCCGAAGCCAGGAGCCAGGTGCTTCTCCTGTTCTCCCATGCGGGTGCAGGGCCCAAGTACTTGGGCCATCCTCCACTGCACTCCCGGGCCATAGCAGAGAGCTGGCCTGGAAGAGGGGCAACCGGGACAGAATCCGGCGCCCCGACTGGAACTAGAACCTGGTGTGCCGCCGCCACAAGGCAGAGGATTAGCCTATTGAGCCACGGCACCGTCTAGATAAT